AATACATGTATGCGAAGCAAAGAGAGAATTTTGGGGTTTTGTGGCTTTTTTTTTTTTTTTTTTAAAACACTGTTAATGGCAGTCAAGAGAGCCAGGCATTTGAGACCAGAATGTCCGAGATTCCTTAACATTTTAGACTGTGAACAATAAAGTTGTTACCTCTCCAAAACAAAGAGCTACCTGTCTCATCAGTTCTCCCATAAAAGTAATCGATGAATTCAACTCAAGGCATTACCTGCATTTTCTTAATAGACAAGGAGGTCTCCCCTTTTGTAATGGCAGTCAAGAGAGCCAGGCATTTGAGACCAGAATGTCCGAGATTCCTTAACATTTTAGACTGTGAACAATAAAGTTGTTACCTCTCCAAAACAAAGAGCTACCTGTCTCATCAGTTCTCCCATAAAAGTAATCGATGAATTCAACTCAAGGCATTACCTGCATTTTCTTAATAGACAAGGAGGTCTCCCCTTTTGTGCTTCTTGGGCATTAAATTTTTAAGCATTCAGTAATCTTAATTTCTGCAAAGAATATATTTAAGTGACACTCTGGATTCGTTCACCCACTGGATTCCTTTGCAAACACTTTCAATATTAGCCTTCTTTAACCCAACAGCATTCTCTCTTAGTCTGAGCACTCATGCCTAGCACGAGCGCTGTCCTAAGACACCCTCTGGAATTCATGAGTAATCGAGAAAGCATGAAAGCGCCCTCGCCACTCTGCAATCCACCCAACTTGTGTCTCTCAAACCGAAGTACTCACACACTTAAGAAGCTGCTGATCACTCATTCACATACGGATGTTCTACTTGCAAATGTTTAACTCTGGAAAATTAACTTTAGGCCATCAGCCCAAACGAACAACATTAAGTTGTTAACAGAAGAACTAATTGAAACCATAGATTTTTTGCTAAGCGTCGGCATCCTTAGTGTGTCAGCCATTACTCTAATTAACAATTAAATGCACGAAGGTAACATCAGAGGGAATAATCCATAATCCATACGGTTTTGTTCACTATGTAAACAGGCATCAGCTAAGACACTCAACCCTGGGAGGCACAGCACATCAGTGCAGCTGAAAACGTGATTTCATTTGGGAGTAGCCTCAACCTCCTTTCACAGAGAAGTATGACAGCCTCACCCATATATAAAGGAAGACTTGCAGGTAAACAGACTGAAGCTTTCTCCTCTATCCTCTCCATTCCTTTCACAGCTGGATACCTGCAAGTTTAGGTATTGTTCCTAAAAAAAAAAGGAAGCAACAATAGCAAACTCTTAGGAAAGAGGGGAAAATACCAGTTACATGACAATGTAAAATTCCTTAAGGGGGGAAAAAACCCCAAACCACAAACATAAAATGGAGAGAGGACATGTGTTCTGTCATATTAATTTATTAATGTAAAATAACTTTATTGTTTAGTTCAGATTAAAGAAAGCTGCATCAGTCAAGGAGATGTCACTTTTGCTGTTTGCTGAAGGAACTGCAAATCTCAGTGAGCAAAACAAG